TATGTCCTTCCTTTTTGTATATTATTTCCATTCTATGTCTCCACCTTCATGTATTGTTCTTTTCCATTCTATGTCTCCACCATATATTATTTAAGCTATACTACATTCTGTCCACCACCTTCCACCATTGTGTGTTTATGTATACTACATTCTATGTGCTCCACCTTCCATGCTTCGTTCCTGTGTCTTCATACCTTGTGTCTCACTTGTGTGCCATTCTGTGTCTCCTTCCTTGTGTGTGTTCCTTCATGTGTGTGTGTCTGTGTCTCCTGTGTGTGTGTCCACTTCCTGTGTGTGTGTCTGTGTGTCCTGTGTGTCCATGTGTTGTGTGTGGTGTGTCTGTGTCTCATGTCCTTGTCTGTGTGTGTGTGTCTGTCCTCTGTCTTTCTGTGATTGTGTGTCCTTCCTGTTCTGTGTCTGTGTCTATGTGTTCTTCTGTGTGTCTGTTCCTTCCATTCTGTGTGTGTGTGTGTGTCACATGTGTGTGTGTCATGTGTGTGTCTCTGTGTGTGTCTGTGTGTGTGTGTGTGTGTGTCTGTGTGTCTCATGCCTTGTGTGTGTGTGTCATGTGTGTCTGTGTGTTCGTTCTGTGTCTGTGTGTGTGTCTGTGTCCATGTGTCTGTGTCTGTCCATGTGTGTGTCTCGTCTGTGTCTGTGTGTGTCATCGTGTCCATGTGTGGTCTCTCTGTCATGTCTTCCTGTCTGTGTGTGTCTCCTTCCTGTGTCTTCATGTGTGTGTGTCATGTGTGTGTTGTCTCCATGTGTCTCATTTCCTTGTGTGTTGTCTGTCTCCTGTGTCTCCTTCTGTGTGTCATGTCTGTGTGTCATGTCCTTCCTGTGTGTGTGTCTCCTGTCATGTGTGTGTGTGTGTGTGTCTATTCCTGTCTATGTGTGTCTGTCTCTCCTTCGTTCTGTGTGTCATCTCATTCTATGTCATTCCTTTCTATGTCATATGTGTTCGTTATGTTGTGTGTGTCCTGTTCCACATCTGTGTGTATGTTATGTGTCTCTTCGTTCGTTCTGTGATCTCCTTGTCCTTGTGCCTGTTGTGGGGCTATAGCGTTCTGTGATCTCCTTGGTTCTATGGGGCTTGGTGTGTTGTTTGTGTGGGGCTATGCTACGTTCCTGTGATCATCCTTGCATTCATGAGGGCATTGTGTGTTAGTGTGTCTTATATGCTGTTCCTGTCCACCATTCTATATTTTCCTTACTTATTATTATATCCACCTTCCTGTTACACTTGATTCCTTTCTATTATATCCTGTCCACCCCTTCCTATTTGTATTTTATATTTCCTTCACTATATATCCTTCCTTCTACATTCCATTCTATGTCTCCATTTCCTTCCTTCTATATTCCTTTCCATCCTTCCTTTTATATATATTTTCCTTCTCCATTCTATATCCATATACCTTCACTGTGTATATTTCATTCTTATCTCCTTCATTTATATTTTCATTCTATGTTCATTCTATATTACCTTCCTTCTCCTTCATCCTCCACCTTCCTTTTATATTATTTTCTTTCTACTACATTCTATCTCTCACCACCTTCCTCTGTATATATTTTTCTTTCTACATTCTATGTCTACTATTCCTTTATATTATTTTTCTTTATTCTGTCTCACTATATCCTTTTATGTGTTCCTTCTACATTCTGTCTTCACCTTCCATTCTGTGTCATTCATATCTCATACTATTCTTCTATTATATTGTTGTCTACATTCTGTGTCCATACCTTGTATTTTTATGCATTATACTTTTTATTGTCTCATTCTATTTCTCCACTCCATTCTGTCTTCCATTTATATTTTTGTTTATACTACATTCTATGTCCTTCCTTTTGTATATTATTTTCCTTCTTTTCATTCTTTATGTCTCCATATTACTCTTATTTGTCTTCCTACATTCTATGTCTCACCTTCCTTTATGTGTTATTTCTTGTATATTCTGTGTCTGTCCTTCCTTGTATGTGTGTGTTTATACTTCATTCTATGTCTCACCACATATTCCATGTATGTGTTCTGTCTGTCTCTCACCTTCGTTATGTGTGTGTGTGTCTCTGTGTGTGTGTCCTTCCTTGTTGTGTCTCATTCCTTGATTCTGTGTGTGTGTTCCTTGTGTGGCTTGTGTCTGTGTCTCCATTCCTGTGTGTCTGTGTCTCCTTGTGTGTGTGTGTCTGTGTCTCCTGTGTGTGTGTGTGTGTCTGTGTCTCCTGTCTGTCTGTGTGTGTCTGTCCTCTCCTGTGTGTGTGTCCATGTGTCTCTGTCTGTGTGTCTCACCTTCCTGTGTGTGTCTGTGTCTGTGTGTCTGTGTCTGTGTGTCTCATTCTGTGTGTGTTGTCGTTCTGTGTCTCATTCTGTGTGTGTGTGTCTGTGTCATTCCTTCCTGTGTGTGTCATTGTGTCTGTTCTGTCTCATGTGTGTGTGTCCGTGTCTGTGTCTCCATGTGTCTGTGTGTGTGTCTGTGTGTTCTATGTGTCATTGTTGTGTCTATGTGTGTTGTGTCTCATTCTGTGTCCTTGTGTGTGTTGTGTCCTTCTGTGTGTGATTCCTTGTGTGTGTCATTCTGTGTCTCATGTGTGTGTGTGTCCTGTGTGTGTGTCTCTCTGTGTGTGTGTGTGTGTTCAGTGATGTGTCTCTATGTCATGTGTCTGTGTCTCATACCTTCCTGTGTGTCTCTATGCCTTCCTTGTTCTGTGTCTCACCTGCCTTCCTGTGTGTGTCTGTGTCTCCTTCCTTTGTGTGTTGTTCATGCCTTCACATGGCTTGCTTGTATGTTGTGTCACTGTCGTTCCTTGATCATTCTATGCTACTTCTGTAATCTCATACCTTCACAAAGGCTTGTATGTTGTGCTATTTGTAAACTTCTACATTCTGTAATCTCCATACCTTCACAAAGGCTTGTATATTGTTGTAAACTATGCTACGTTCTGTAATCTCCTTACCTTCACAAAGCTTGTATATTGTTGTAAGCTATACTACATTCTGTAATCTCCTTACCTTCATAAAGCTTGTATATTGTTGTAAACTATACTACATTCTGTAATCTCCTTACCTTTACAAAGCTTGTATATTGTTGTAAACTATACTTCACGGCGACGTATTTATTCCAGCAGATTGTGAAAGACTATGACTTTCCAATGTAACATATAGCACGCCTCGAAAGCGTACAAAAACGCAACCTACAACTTTATGGATGATAACTAGCTTCTTGTTCATTGCATAGAGCAAGTTTCGACGTTAACTGTCGATTCTTACACTGTTATCAAGCTTTTATCAAGCCATATATTTTTAGCTCCGTGCTGGGATTCGAACCCCGAACCATGTGATCCGAAGTCGACGTCTTGCCTCAGGACTCAGGACTCAGGATTTTATTCTCATAAATCATACAAAATGATATCGAGAACATACATATATTTTGATAAATACAAAGTTCCATTTTGGCTTATATGCATATGAATATAAGATAAATGTATAACTAAAACAGGGATAATATAATTTTCGTTAAACAGGACAGTTTCTGTACCAAAGGATGATAGTTAGATGACCAAGGAGGTTAACCCCGTCAGCAAGCTGATAAGGTAATGATGTTTTTGGTAGGATGACTCCACGCCCTGTTACTTAGGAGTGTACATTGCTCTAATGCAATAAACAAGAAGTTGTTATCCATACAGTTGAATGCTTCATTTTTGACTGATTATCTTCTATAATGCCGAACAAACAATTAGTATATTGAAAACCCTGAAATTACACAGGAATTGGCTATTTAACATTCTGAGGGTGTCGGGGCTTGGGTGGATGGAAACATACTTAATTGAATTGAATTAATTTTATTGTTTTCTTACAACAATATTTGTTCATTACGCATCTGTCAGTGGATAACATCAAAATATGCAAATTAAAAACACGCATTAATTATTCAAACACACATGGACCTCAGCATCCGCCTGTTTACATTCCCCACTCGCATTATATATTTCCTGTTATATATTTCCTCGCAAGCATTTATTTCCATGTTTACATTGACAACACGCACTATTTTAAAATACATCAACCTTTACATCTGTGAGTTAACCACTGGGTGACCCACCTCCCCTTAATTCAATAGGGCGACTATGCATCAACGGATAATGTCCCATCTAGGATTCCATACACGTGCTATTCATGGTGCAACAATAACTGAGAACGACGACAGGGGTAGTTAATGCGATAGTCCCGTTTACTGAAGTGGGACGACAAACACATATTTGTTCTTCTTTGAGAGGCATTTAGAAGTTGGGGCAGTAAGGATGGATGACAATATAAGGATGAACAACTTCTTTATTGCTGTGAGAGCGACGTTTCCGTGTAGGTTCTAACACCGTTATCAAGCAAGTGATGAACAGCATAATTATAATATGTTTGATTGGCATTTTAGAAGTTGATGGATAATAGAATAAAGAAGTTGTTATCCATAAAGTATTATACTTTTCTAGCATAATGATAGAGGAGCATATATACAAGTTAGATGAGATGTTTGTACAGTACAATAGGGATTAGGAAGCCAGACACAATAACAACACAAAGGCTTTGATAAAAGCGTTAACAATTGAAGCCTGCAAAGTACACAAAGGGATAGTGAAGCCTGTGGCAGGTGTACCCCCAGTTTGCCAGCAGCCAGCAGGGGATTACCTGGGATTAGAGGACACAGAGGAATGAGCGTGCAGGGCAAGTTGTTCCCTGTGTAATATGATCCGGGGTAATTAGGCTACCCATAACATTGACACTGTGACACCTTTCATTCATTACCCGTGAAGGTCCGAGTTAGAATATTGATCTTCAGTAACCGATGCTTGTCGTAGGAGGCGACTAACAAGATCGGGTGGTCAGGCTCGCTGAATTGGTTGACACATGTTATCGGTTCCCAATTGCGCAGATCGATGCTCATGCTGTTGATCACTGGTTTGTCTGGTCCAGACTCGATTATTTACAGACCACCGCTATATAGCTGGAATATTGCTGAGTGCGGAGTAAAACTAAACTCACTCTTTCATTTATTTCAACATACATATCATCATCATCATCAGTCTCATCAACAGTATTATGAAATACAACCATTAGGAAATATTAGCACTATCATCATGATACATACATTATTAGAAAAGCACATTATACACAATATCACATGCATACATTATTATTCATAGTCCAACAAAGTGAGATACTCTATCTCCATAAGCAAGTGGAGTCTTGACACAATCTTGCAGCAGTCTCTTCTCACGGTCTAGCCGTTCTTCAGACTGGTGATTGAGTAGATCTGAGTTACATAAACTCGGGTACCAGCTCAGTTCAGTGGTAAGGGGAACTGTGTTCACCAGCTCAGGGGTAACTAAAAAGTGCATCACCTGTTGTTTTAAGAGATTAGCACGTTACCTGGAACCTTTAAACAATACCTGCTGGCAAACTAGGGACACCCCGACCAATGCTTGATATTTCAAGCCACAGTTTATCTTGTTCACTCATCTCATGTTTACAGTGACAGATGGTATGGATGAGTAGGTCTTTGAAGTGTGATTGACACAGCTCATATATGCCACTAATGGTTCTAACGTTAAAAGCGGCTATATTACAGTTTATGATTGTTAAATTTCCAGAAGGCTATTGTTTATCGTTTGTAAATATCATGCTTTTCTCTGCACGATTATTATATCTATAATTTATCTGTATTCCGGAGCGGTATTCAGATAAGCACCATACTGCTTGTTTACCAATCCGGTTCCTCTTTTGGAAATAAATATGTTTAAACCATATATGCCTTGTGCACCTCCTGGGTGCCATGATGCACATAGATTAACCACAAATTTGCATTGCTGTTTAAAACGCGGTACTGTTAGTGAACACGCCCCTCGAACCGCTTCCAGGAAACCAGCCCTTCGCTTAATTCCATAAAAGCTAATGGGTGCTACTAAAATGGAATGGATTTTCCCATTCTGCTATTCGAAATTATGAAGTGAACTAGTACAAGTGTGTTCTATTACGTGTAAACTTGTTTTGAATTGAAAGTGTGTCAGTTGATTAACGTATTTAATCAGTAAACACAAAGAATGTGTTTAAATTAGGGATTTATAGCAAACTCGATTTCAGCATGAGCAAGGAAGTAAAGCGGGATAATTAATTCGGATTACCAGCGTGGTCACGTGACTCCTAATTTGCTACAGCTATGTTCCTTGGTCATTGTAATTGCCAAAATACAAAGAGACTAAGTATCATTGAAGTTTTTGAAAGGCATTTAGAAGTTGGACAAACATGAATACATGACTCGTTTTATGGATAACAACTTCGTTTTTATTCTTTACACGACGTTTCAGAGCTAATTCTTGCTGATTCATTTACATGATGAAGGAGTAAGAATTAGCTCTGAAATCGTCCATAAAGAAATTCAATAAAAATAATTTGTTATCCATGAAACGTGTCATGTATTAAGTATTGACACATGTCATCGGTTCCCCATTGCGCAGATCGATGTTCATGCTGCTGAGCACAGGATTGTCTGGTCCAGACTCCATTATTTACAGACCGCCGCCATATAGCTGGGATATTGCTGAGTGCAGCGTAACACTAAACTCACTCACTCACTCATTTTGAATAATCCAGGTGCATATATAGAGGTAGACTAACAACTAGTCTCGGAAATGAACATATTTTACAGAAAAATAGAACATTGTATAAAAAATGAAATATAATGAAAACGAGCCCTTAGACCTTCTTAATTTTCGGACTGTGGAAATCTAGACATACCACATTTTCTAGACTTACGTGGGCTGCCTTGGATATATTTGCTTCAGGGTCTTTTTGACAGACTAGTATAGAGAGATATTTCACCTGAGAGACAAATTCAACACGATTAATAGGTTGGAGGCGTTTGCGTCTATGCGCCTATAACCAATAAATAGAGAGGGCTTAAGTCTTTGTTAACTTCAGAAAATTACCCAGATATTGACTTGAATGATATCTCCACCGTATCCCCTCGGATTACAAATCTAGAGCACCACCACTCTATCGTGGACCAAACCTTGACCTTTAGATGACAAGCTCATACAATTGGCAAACTGGGACACCAGTAAGCAAGAATTCTGACCCCACAACAGCATTCTAACAGCGGGACGAACAGGCGAGCTTTACAAATTATACCCCGGGTCTCTGTCATGACGAGTCAACGCATTAACCACTAGCATGACTAGGTAACCCACCTCCCCTTAATTCAAGAGCAGGAAAGTACACACTGACAGTGCATTTGGAACACACTAACACACACATGTTCAGATAATTAGAGCCACCTCCCATGACGACCGCCATACGACGGTGGAATATTCATGTCCAGGTACTAGTTCTATCAGTCCGTATTGAAATTTTCTCTACCTGCCCGAACACGGCACTTTTAGGCATGGCCACTGCGTCTGATTTACATGTTCCTGATTATGAGAAAACAACATGCATATATCACTGAAAGGACATTTTATTCATTAATTACAATTGGTTTATAACAGTGTAAATTGGTAAAATGTTGTTGTTGTATTACATTGTTTTGTTACAGTTAAGAAAACAATGACGTTCTTTGAATACATAATATATATTTATGTATATTATAATCATATCTAGAATGGGAGTAAAGAGAAATCTGCAATAAGACTGTACAACCCAGCTTAGTATGCTGCTTAAAATACAGCCTTGTCTAACACCTAGTTCCCTAATAAAAGGTTCAGATAATTCATGCTTATTAATTACCCACACTTAAACATTTTCGTACATACTCTTCAACATTTTATTCATTTTACTACTAAGACCGTGCGATTGTCCCCATAGTTTATTCCGTTGCACAGAATCAAAAGCCTTTGCAAAATCAATGAATAGTGCGTAGAGCGTTCCACCTTTTGAGCTGAGGTATCTTTGTATGAGACTATACAGTATAAAGATAGTATCTGTTTTTGTATATCCCTCCCTAAAGCCCGCTTGACCCTCGTATATCTGATCCATTACGTCAGCCTGGTGCAGTAGTTGGTGAAAGGGTGACATTGGCAAGGACGCTTTCTCTGTGTGATATAAGTGGCCCGACAATACTTGACATATTTTGACCTAGAAATATTTCTTTACTTTACCCATATTTTAGACCATAGATTAGACTTGTGTTCGCGATTTGGATAAATTTGGCACTTTTTGTTGGGCGACAAAGCCAAAATATCCCTTCCAGGATTCCATAAACGTACAACTGAAAGGAACGCTCGGGTCAGACGAGGCGATGCTGTGTGCTAGAATACATTGTGGCCTAGATTTTGCACTCGATTTTAAGAGAGTTAAAAAGTAGGTCGTTTTCTTTGTGCAGCAGTGCAACAGTACCAATTAAGTCAGCTAGAAATATTTCACGTCTTCCTATGCTTAGCCTAGCTTCAAGCCTGTGCTGAATACGACGCCCATTGATGAATAGTAATTCATAGTAACAGTTAATCAATTAGAGAGGTCAAAATAAGTATACAGAAAGGAGGCCAGTCTTTTAATGGGACATCTTGTTCTTTTTATTTATAAAATCTTGAAATTATCATTTACACTTATAATTACTTGTGCAAGGCTGCTTTTTTATAAAAACTGTTGTTCAAAATGCCACAAGAAGACAAGGCATCTTAGTGGTTCAAGCGTTCGTTTTCTTCACGCCGAAGGACATGGTTCGAGTTCCCACATGAGTACAATGTGTGAAGCCCATTTCTGGTGTCCCCCGCTGTGATATTGCTGGAATATTGCTAAAGCGGCATAAAACCATACTCACTCACACTAACTAACTTAATAGGTTTTAATAGGCTAACATATCAATGTTTCATATTAGAATATACAAGGAGTTCGTGACTCTTAAAACGAAGCTATAGAAAAATGTCTCCATCAGCATGACTTCTAACGAAGTGACGTCAGTGTTCATACGAGGGAGACTGGTGATTTGAAACTGATGGTGATAGTTCTACAAACATACCATTCCCCAGTGGAAGGTTTAGTCTACAAACAGCTTTGGAGGATCACATATTCGATTAACAACAAACGTAAGTTCACCATTCTGTGTCAACAATGTCGAAGATGAAAATCTGAATGGGCCGTGCCACTGGGCGGCACGGGAGAAGGGGGAGGGGAGATATGTAACCAGGGACACAGCGATGGGGCCAGCTCACTGACACACATATACAATCGGCAAGGGCCTTTCCTCCCAGTCGTGGGTTTGTTTGTTCGTCCTAGCTGAGCTGACGGTAATTGCGTTATCGGCGACGCACCAAACGAACTGAAGTAAACCGATGCCGAATATGTATTACCTTCACGGTGACAGCATTATGAGTTTCTTCACAGGGTGTTACTGTTTGTGTTTGCGAGTACGTATGCCTGTGTATGGATGTGTACATGTGCAAGCGTGCGTACGTATGTGTGCGTGCGTGTGTGTGTGCGCGCACGCGTGTGTGTGCGTGTCCGTGCGTGATATTGCGTGTGGTGATTATTAATACCCTTGACCGTTTTTTTATATAAATCGCTGCTCTTGTATTATATGACCTGAGAATTTTTACTGCCATACAAAATTACACCCATCATCACCATCCTCATCATCATCATCATCACACTTTCAATGTCCACTTCCTGTATGCAGTTTCGAGCATAACGTTCTCCACGACGTCTGTAAACACGACGTCTTCCGTCCATACAAAGAAGTAAAAAACCAAACACCTATCCATCGCTGTTGTGGCCATACTTTATGTCCTTCACATTGGCGTTTATCCCTGTTTGGGCTGAAATCATGCGCAACCCTGGTGTTGTTGTATCTATAGAGGTGACTTCGTTGAGTATCACGCAATTGATGCACCCGCGCTGACACGTGGTCAGGTTGGTCACGTGCTGACCCTGCGTCTGATAACGTTTCCACAGCCTTGTAGTTTTTGCTTGGCAATACGTGTAAAATCTGGCTACGGGAAACTCCGACTAGCCTGTCTGCTGTCGGCCGATGGCGTTGTTGCTAGGGCTTCCACGGGTACTCGAGTACGAGTCGGGTTTAGCTGGACTCGAGTCCATTTTCTAGGACTCGGGGACTCGAAAAGGGGAGATAACTCGAAGTATTAGGTTACGTTGACAGACTGTCTGTCTGCCATATGCTAAGCATGAGCGGCCGTTAACGTCTAATATTAAGATAAGATATAACTTTATTATCCCGGAGGAAATTCTTATACATCCAAACTGTCTAAAAATGAATATGTACACGATTCACAAAAATATACACAATAATTACATGCTCAAAACGAAAGCTATTTACACAATAAAACTGACATGATATAATTCAATTAACCACATAGGTAAAGAGGCTGAATAATTCTAGTTGTTATCACATGGTGATACTTCAAAATATTTGTTGCATTCACGAATACTTGATGGTATGAAAGACTGTCGAGCTCTGTTTGTTTTGAGGGAAGGTAATCGACAGCAGCGTCCAGAAAGAAGTACTTCAAAATGGTGAGATAAAATATTTTAACTATCAAATCTAATTTTTAGTTGCCTTTTTTGACAATCTGGCGCTCATAGATAAAGGGAATATACTCGAAATTTTGCCGGCAGTATTAACAATTTTGAAAGGTTTGTTTTTGTTGCGATCCGACAGGCCCCATACCAACATAGAAACTTGTAGGTCAACACACTGTGAATAAAGGTTTGATAAAAACTGTCATTACGGTTTTGTCAATGACTTGAGGGGCGGTGGGGTGGCCTAGTGGTTAAAGCGTTGGCTCGTCACGCCGAAGACCCGGGTTCGATTCCCCACATGGGCACAATGTGTTAAGCCCATTTCTGGTGTCCCCCGCCGTGATATTGCTGGAATATTGCTAAAAGCGGCGTAAAACTAAACTCAGTCAGTCAGTCAGTCAATGCCTTGACTATAATATGGTTCAGAATCAGCAATTAGGCCAGTAACAGTGGCGTCATCTGCGAATTTCACAGTAAACAAATCAGTTAATGACAAGTAACAGTCATTTGTATACAAAACGAAGAGTACGGATGAAAGAACACAGTCCTGTGGAGCTCCAGTAGAGGTTGAGAGGAAAGAAGATTGATAGCCATTGACACTGACATACTGAGTTCTATGTACCCTGAATTCTTTAACCCATCTGATAATGTTTTTATTAAGGCCTAGATTAAGTAGTTTACTCCTCATAAGGTGTGGCTGTATGGTATTAGTTGTTACAAGTCTGCAGATGAGAGTAAGTATTATACATCGTTTGAGATTTCACTTCTTAAAATGATTAGGTAACTATCTTAACAGACATGGAGAACGATAAAAAAATCAAATGTATGGGCGTGTCTTGATCTGGATTGTGAAAAGAGAAAAATAACCAAATGCCGCCTGTGCGGTATATCACTGCGTTATGCAGGCAGTACAACCAGTACGATGAAAAAAAACACATTTGGCAAGTAAACATCCAAATACTGACTCTGACCAATAGGAAATGTTAGTCACACGACGATATGAAGTAAGTGTTCACTTGTGTGATCGGAACACGTCATGCCGGTTACGCTATCGTTTGTTTGAAAGGTATGAATTTCGAGTACTCGGGTCCGAGTCGAGTCTCACCCCTCGAGTACTCGAGTCCAAGAAAATGGACTCGTTGAAGCCCTAGTTGTTGCCTTGAGCTTCAGTCGTGGCATGTTTTCAACAATTCACTTCTTGTACAATTGTGATATGAGATACATGAAAACCTATCGTGTTCTTAGCCCGACCATCTATGTTGCACCATGTTGGTGGTGTGCTTGATCACCATGCTCCAACGTGGTTGCGTTTTACGCACTTTTACGGTAGTTTCAGGCCGCACTGTATTCTACCCGCACAAAACACGGCCCATACTACAGCACCGGTGGAAAGCGTAACCCGGGGACATGCACGTTTGGACTCATAGGCGGATCCAGAAATTTTCAAAGGGGTTTATAAACATTGTGTTGCTTCCAGTTAATTTAGGTTTTCAGGGCAATGAAACAGCAGATAATCTTGCTAGGTCAGGATTGTGAAATGTGAGGTGAGGTGAAATTGAGTTTTACGTCGTTCTTGAGAATATTTCGCTCATATGACGACGTGCATGCGTGTATATGTGTATGTGCCCCTGCTTGTACTAGCCCAGACTTAAGCTGGTTTTATAGTGCTAGCCCACTGAGATACCATGCCGCAATGAAGCATGAATACCCCACTCAGACACATTATACTGACTCCGAGCCAACCAGTTTTGTTGTACCCATTAATGCCGAACGCCAGGCTGGGACCAACAAGTAACATATTTTAACGTCTTTTGGTATGACGCGGTAGGGGATCGAACCCGCGTCCTCCCGCTCTCCAGGCGGACGCTCTAAACCACTACACCACGGAGGCGTTTGATTGTGAAAGGATGGGGTTAATAATTGTTTTAATTAAGCCTTGCCAAAGAAATTGTGAATGTGCCATTGTGAAGCCGGTCGCCATGAAGTGGCAAACCTTGTGTGATGTTAGATTTATTGGACGACAGATGTGCAGACGCTGGGCAATACAGGAGTACCATTGCACTGGGTCTAATGTTAATGAATCCTGGTACTCAGGGGAGATTAGTGCCGATACTTATCTCATCCAGTTTTGACAAGCACCTGCTACAATGAGAGTAATTACTGTACTGGCATATCTTCAGTCAGATAATGGAACGCTGTCACCTTGACCCGTGTCTGGCTGGTAACGCCATACCAGATTGTTCTATAGCTACCAATGAAACAACATTGTGTTTTGTTAAATGTTCATACCAGTGAAGATACGGGTTAGAATTGTTCTTCAGCAACAGTAAAAGGCGACTAACGGGATCGGGTGGACAGGTTCGCTGACTTGGTTGACACATGTCATCGTATCACAGTTCGTAGAACGACGCTCCTGATGTTGATCACAGGATTGCCTGGTCCAGGCTCAATTATTTACAGACCGCCGCCAAATAGCTGGAGTATTGCTAAGCGCGGCGTTAGTCAACAAAAAACAAACAACCAACTAAATGTTCAACAGGACTATTCACAAAATGAATCAAAATTGGGACAATGCTTTATTAGAACGCCATTTATCAAGCCTAACGTCAATTTGTCTTGAAGGAAAAACGTGAAATATAAAGTTTATTCTGAGTAACATAATATGATACGCATTGGTATGTCATATTATACGCTGTGTGGTTTATGGAGATTGCAAGAAAACTTATTTTGTCCTTGGTATTGCCTTCATCTTGAACTGCTGCGGGTGAGTGACGATTCCGGGCAATCTTTTCAAGGACGGGCACATCCCGCCTGCAGGTCGGAATTCGAACTGTTGGATCATGCTAGCAGTAAACAGGAAGAGTTCCATTCGTGCCAAGGCCTCACCAAGGCATGCTCGGTGCCCTGAATATAACACAGATAGCACATTTAGCATCGATTCGGTATAACAAAATAATTTATAACCTCACCAAGGCATGCTCGGTGCCCTGAATATAACACAGATAGCACATTTAGCATCGATTCGGTATAACAAAATAATTTATAACCTCACCAAGGCATGCTCGGTGCCCTGAATATAAAACAGATAGCACATTTAGCATCGATTCCGAATAACAGAATGATTTATACCCCACCAAGGGATGCTCGGTAAGATGAACATAGCACAGATAGCACATTTAGCATCGATTCGGTATAACAAAATAATTTATAACCTCACCAAGGCATGCTCGGTGCCCTGAATATAACACAGATAGCACATTTAGCATCGATTCGGTATAACAAAATAATTTATAACCTCACCAAGGCATGCTCGGTGCCCTGAATATAACACAGATAGCACATTTAGCATCGATTCGGTATAACAAAATAATTTATAACCTCACCAAGGCATGCTCGGTGCCCTGAATATAAAACAGATAGCACATTTAGCATCGATTCCGAATAACAGAATGATTTATACCCCACCAAGGGATGCTCGGTAAGATGAACATAGCACAGATAGCACATTTAGCATCGATTCCGAATAACAGAATGATTTATACCCAACCAAGGGATGCTCGGTAA